TTCTGTTTCTGAACCACGTCTGTGTCTGCATATAATGTTCGTATTTAGTCTCCTCAGGGTTCCCGCGGGGTCTTAAAAATACTTACATTTGATAATCTGAATGGAAGGCCTTAAAAAGGTCTTAAATATGACCAAAAAAATAAGAAAGGTCTTAAATATGATTTAGAAGGTCTTAAAAAGGATCGGATCTGAAAGGTACTTCTGTGTTGCAATCGCGTCTAAATGTGTTTTGGGGGAAATGTCCGGGCTGCAAAGTAACCAGTATGGTAATAGCCTTTCAGTTCCCCCCAACAATTTGTATTGAAATAAATCAACATGGAACCAGTAATCACTAACTTTGTTTCCCCCGGCCCCTTATCGGAGAACACCCAGCTAGTAACCTAGCAGCCAAGCTTCAGCTAGCGGCAGGCAGAAATTCAGGTATCTTCGAATCTACTTGCAAATAAATATGGGGAAGTGTAAGTTCAACCGTATTTGGTTGGAAAACATCGAATTTAGTGCTTAGTCGAAACCAGTGGAGAGGAACGTGTTTGAAGCCCGCTGCACCTTTTGCAAAAATAAATTAGCGTTTGTTTTGCTAATGTAGCATTAGCTAGTGCAGCGTTATCTAGTGCAGCAGCTCCCGTAACAACACCGGGGGACCTCCGGGCGACGTGAACCCTAAAAGCGGAGGTGCTGTGGACCTATATGGCGACGCTAAACACCGTAGTTAAACACCAATCATACAACAGCAACGATGAAATATTTTAACCACGGCAGCAGAGCTCTGAATATAGCTCTTGTCACACACACACACACGCGATCCAGTATTCTCAGAGTCACAATATATTGGCTTTTTCATTTCGAGACATACTACCACACACAGACATAAAGCCGGACACGTTGAATTAGCATAAAATTTTAGCGTTAATGCTAAAACCGGACGGGTGTTGTATACTTTTAGTTGTACTTAGCTTTTTGCTATTAAATCGAAACGCGATCCAACACTGTCACGTGACGTTGTATAAACTTAGATTATTAAAAAAGCAGATTAAATAAAAATAAATAGTATAAATATATACAAAGTCATCGAACACCTTCACGCGGGTTTATAATATTGAACTATTAACATAATAACCATAAATAATAAACTATTAATAGTAAATAAATTAAATAAAACATATCCAAAAGGGCACTTTAATATGCAAGTATGGTCCATGGTTGTCAATTTTTCCTATGACAAGTTTAATAATAAACAAAATTTCAAGCTATTTACCTACAAAAGTTTCAGTTACTTATGTAGTTTATAATTATTAAAGGCAGCTATAGTATAATAGAGCTGGGTTTTATTTAGCACTAAAGAGTGTGTACAAAAAACCGGTGTTAGCCGTCGGGTCACGATTCTATATATCACACACCACACACACACACACACACACCGACTACACACACCCACCAACACACCACCACAC